TACCGATGCTACGTGTGACGATCAGTTTTCGACCGCTAATGCGATATGCAGTGTATTAATGCTCTTTAATCCAGCGCGTTTGCTCGGTTTAGTGGTGCGACGTTACGCTGACACTGAGTTCCAGAATCAGCCTTGCGTAAATCGAATTAGGTAAGTTGTATTCCGACAATTTCATTGTCGTCACTTGATTATACGTAACTGGTATGTCATCCCCGCTGATGTCTTAACCAGTTTATTCATCAGACGAGTAAAACTTAAAATTTAATACACCAGTCACCAATAATTTTATAAAATGAATGACAAGGGACTAATTGAGACAGATTATCTATCTTGTACAATATACTATAATGAGAATAGCGGAAATATTCCTCTGCACTTTATATTATAGAAAATATTTTAAGCTACTTTTGGGAGTTTTAATACTGGAGGTTTGGAGTTTTATTCAATATTTCTCAATATTTTCAATATTTTCAAAAAATTTAAAGACTCTTCAAATAAATAACAAACAGGAAATGATAAATTAAATAGCGAATCAGAGAATATATATATAATATTCTATATAATATGTACTTCAGAGTTTCTGGCAAGAGTAAATACTATTTATTGCATTGGTTACGTGTATCCGTGGGAGTATCAATCCCAGCTCGATTTAATAATTCAGATTAGGATTTGAAATTGGCTGACATTTTCGCAATTAACGTAATAATTTAATTTAATTCCTCTTTCAAAATTCGTCCACGAAATTTAGAGCACTATTTAATACCACTACTTTATGTGAAATTATAAAATGATAAATGGCTATAAATATCGACAATAGCTCTCTCTCTCTCTCTCTCTCTCTCTCTCTCTCTCTCTCTCTCTCTCTCTCTCTCTCTCTCTCTCTCACAACTTTGCTAAATAGAAAATTGCAAAATTATACATAATTTAATTTAAAATAATGAAATTACTAATAATAATAATATATTTATACTTGAGGTGATAATATTAAGATAATCTTGATAAATAATTTAAATATAATACTAGGATTCGCTTAATACAAATAAATAAGGTATTTAATATTAATTTAATATTTATTGAATTTAGTAAATCAAAAAATCAAAAAAGATTTATAACATAAAAGTTGACAAATAAGTTTGCAGTTAAAGATGTTAATAGATAATATTACTATATGTATGTCTACTAAAATTTATATATGTAATATAATTTTATATTTTATTATATTTCTTGATTGATTTAAGAAAGGCAGACAGACAAACACAGAAAAGAGAAAATGGGGAGGGCTAGAAAGAGAAAGGAAAATATCTCACGAATTGAACATTATATGAAATAAAAATCTAGTGAGAAAAATTTAGCAATAATTTGTAGAATAAGTATGATTTTCCTCAGTTTTCTTTCTTATGAAATCTTTCCTATACGATCCAAAACTGATAACAAAGTATTAGAAGTTTATCTGCGAGACACTTAATTTCTCACATCGATTTTTTGTAACTTGGACTGAAAACGAGAGATTGCCAACAGACAATAGAGGATACAAGTGGTAAATGAAAATTGCGTTAATTAAATATATATTCGGGATTACATATCTAGGATAAGGAAAATACCATTTTATCGACGGATTGAGAGGTGTTTCTGTAACCTCGATTTCAACACTGTGCATGCTGATAATCGATAAGAACCTCGAGTACCTCCATTTCAAGCATAGAATTGCCTGTGGTCGATAAGTTCTAAGTAAGTTTACCACAGGAAAATTTGTGTTGAAGCTTTACAGAAAGTTGACCGTAGTGGAATTTCCTTTCTTCCTGCGAACGATACATAAAGGTAGTTTTTAGAAAATAAGGTAGAGGGTTTTTCTTGTGGTGATAATGAAGAAACAAGAGGGTTCAGTCCATTGCGTGGTTGATACAGCAAAAAAATATCCTTTCATTGATAAAGTCAATTTTTTTATGATCGTGATCAATTCTATGTTGAACACGACTTTAATTAAACTTTATTATTACCAATACAGTAGTAATAAAGTGATTCTATTTTTAACATAATTAAATTTCAATGCCCAGTAAATGCACTGTTAAAGTTCAAAATGAGATCGATATGTTTCACTTTATAATACGACTTTTATTTGATACATGTTTTTATATACATGATATTTATAATATACATATATGTATATTTTGACATATTTTTATTTGATTTGTTACGTAGATATTTCATAAAAGTTTATTGCATTACACACAATCATTTAGTGAGCAAATGCTTAAAACTATTAAAAATATTTCTATTTTAACCGCTGCAATTTTTTAAATCAAATAAATTAAATATTATAGCTAATTAAGCAAAATAATTATAGAACAATTTAGGCGCGTTTCCATGGCGAGTGGTATCATTATTTATCACGACCTGCAAATTTTAGCAATGCGTATAGCTAAATATAGATTTGTAAGTCCATGAAACCCATTAATTAAATTTTTAACCTAATTCACAATGAAATTTGAATAACGACGGGGCGATTAAATCTATGCATTCCTAATGGCAATTTCCTATTGTCGTGTTCCTCAAGTCAAGTTGACAAGGTCGGCCATCGAGTCGCTGAATGGCAACCGGGGAGGGTGAGGGTAAAACACGCCGCAGTGGGCCATGTTGTCGCATCGATTATGCACGTACGACCCTCGTCCCGATACACATACAGTCAGTTTCGTCAATGGTGAGGTTGATTGCCGTCCTCCATTTGCCAGAATCATACATTAAACTGCTGATATATAATTGATAGTCCCGGCATTTACATTCAAACTTAACTTTATGAACTTCTTAAATTTGCTTTAGCGATTAAAAAGCTATTTAACTTACGGCTTTTGACTGTCTGGGGAAATCACGTTACCGTTGAAGAAAAATGTATTTTTCTAAATATATTAAATGTTATTTTGTTATTGTATATTAGAGATTACATTATCATCTTATTACGTGTAGGCGAAATGCAAAAGTGTGGGTACATTCTTTAAAGAGAAAAAAAATATAGAAAATGTTTTTAACGTAGCTTAATTATTAATACTCAATACGTGTTCGCAGATTGGATATTAATCCACGTGCAATTTTTTATCATATCAGCATTACGCACGCGTTAGAATAAAAAGGAAATAAAGAGTCTCGAATATAGAACTTAATTGGGAATTATGGAAATCTCATAATACGATTATTTCAATTATTAATTTAATATATTCCCGCGATGGTACGTGAAGTCTTTGATTACGCAGACACAGGACCGCAATAACCGAGTTACTCAGGCGCTAACTCTCTCGCTCGTTGTTGCCGAAACAATCAAGGTAATACCGGCGGTGTATCGTAACGTACGTCCGCCAAGTGTCCACAGTTACTGGTGCGACAGTGCGCAAGGCTGTTCCGAACTTGTTCGTGCAACGCGACGCCTTGAGAGAAGTTTGCTTTGGCACATGTTCCGCATCTAAATGCGCGTTGTTTAACGTTAACGTCGTAAACGTTACGCGATGCGATGGCACGTGAATGCATGCACCTACGCGTACCGGGCTACAAGATCGCAGACGGTCCTCCTTTGCGACGAGAGTTTACGTTGCGGCTTCGATTAGACGAGCGAGAAGTGCTCCATGAAAATAAATGGGGCGCAGACCGAAGTTGTTCCACAACAATTATGAATTATTGGCGGTTACAGTAGCACGAATGTGCACGTAGGCATTTAATTGAGATTCCGTGCGAGACATTGCAACGAAATAAGCACAAAAAGAAAGAAATTTGAAATTTATAAGAAATATTCCGCGCAGCTCTTGAACTTGCAACGTGAGACCCGCGCGGGATTATATTATTCCTGGAGTTTCGACTCGCTATTTTTTTATTTCCCGCGGATTACGGTTATCTTGAAAGTTGGTGCACTGGGAAATGGGAGTTCCCGACGCGTTCTATCCGGGAATTGCAAATACTTAGGAAATTTCAGTTGGAGTTGATTTATTACTCCCCACCCTTCCCCACTTTAGCTTGCGTGGCGAGGTGAAAGCTATTTACACGCTGATCGCAGTTTATCGCCGCTTGCTGCCCTCGGGGGACCTGTCTCTCTAAGCGACGAGACCGTAAACTTCCGAGATCGCTCCTTTGTCGACGTTGCTTCGCGGCGCGATTTACGATTTTGAAAGCTTTATCATCTAATCCAGATATGATCGCGCGACGTGTAATTACTGAGATATTACAGCCACTTAGAAATTGATTCTTGCCGACCCGCACTACGTATATATTTTATTTTACAACTATATAATTCAATTTATTACTTTATTTCAGAACTAGGCAATTAAATCTATTATTTAGAAATTTGTAAATTACAAATACGCATACACGTACACGAAAACAATAGTTGTAGACAGTTTGCAGAATATATCATGGAACTCTAGAAAGATGAAGAAAAGTGTTATAGCCATCATCCTCATTGTGCTAAATAGAGCTCGAAGATAAAAATTTACACTTTGCGAAATTTTTGAGATGTCAAAGATATGACCAGCGAGAGGAATCTTATTAAAGCGATGTCATAGTTGTTGTACTATAAATTGTACAATTGTTATATTTCATTATAGTTATAACTATACGTACAACTGCTTGTATAGTATTGGTGTATAGTATTACATCGCTGGAAAGAACTTGTGATAAATTGGGGTAGGTCTCGCGCTTCCACGCTCGACAGAATTGGCACAACGCACCTGCCAGTGTTGAGGCTCACCCGAAGGGTTGTTTTCGACTGCAGCCGCGCCACCGACGGAGGGTACTGGAAGCAGGCCGCCCTCTCTCTCATCTGGGAAGACAGTGCGGCCTGATCCGCGGCGCCGGCCGAATCGCCGGCACCCCGTCCGCGTCCGCCGAGCGTTCGTTTCTCGACGCGATGTGCCGAAAACGATGAATGAAAATGTGCGCGACTTCGTTATATCAAATGCTCATCGCGGTGAGAGCAGCCCGCACGATTTCCCGTTGAAGTGTTCGAGTAAGGAAATCGCGACTACAGCGCATAGATCTAGCCACTTGAGAGTTTCGCAAAGTGCGAGTCTCTTTGTTTCTCTCTCTTTTTTTTTGGGTAACGTTAAGGAGGGTGGATGCTGAGGTTATAACTTAATCAAGCTGTCACCCGCAAGTGTTGCCCGAGCATGGGGCTAGTGAATCATTAAAATCCGCGAGACCGTATCCGCAATAGCCGATTCCTACTTTTCGAGACCGAAATCTTTCTCGCGGAAGTACGCTCTGATCGATTTACAATTGAAGGCCTCTCGAACTTTATATTTCGCGTTCGAAAAGCCACTGTAGCGAGTTAAGGGGGATGTATCTAGCGTGGGAATTGCGCAAACGAGGATAGCTAGGGTAGGGTAGGTCGCGGAAATTCGCGGAAAATTTACTTGAAAGTATCGCCGGACAATTAGCTGAAGTGTCTTCATTGCAGACTTATTCATTTAGAATTTCTTTTGTAATTAAAGGGAATATGGGACGTACCAAAGTCTCCGATCTCGTGTCTACGCTACTTGTTTTACAGAGGCGGCGTTTATAAAATAAAATTTCTAAACGACTCACATTGTTTATCGAAATCGTTCAACACGTTACGTTGTTTTTACAGATTGAAATTCCGAAATGTCATCTTCGCCTCCGAGAAAGGCACGCGAAACTATCTTTTACAGGTAATCAATTTTTCGACAGCGTTGGAAATTACACTTCATATACTCGGAGGTGCAAAATATAATTTCGTGACTCTAATGAATTCTCAAGGACTACTTACTCGGAAGAAAATTTCCGGATGGTCGTTTGTTAAAACTTCATAATGTTCGATGTTATACCTTTTCAGTAGGTAGAAATGGAATAGTGAACAGCGGTTTAGATTCAAGAATGTAATTACGCGCCGTTTGATAAATTTCATCCGCCGCTGAGTGCGGTCTGCTGAAGCTACACAAAAGGAATTTCTACTTCCTGTTCGTTTGTCAGAGGTAGATTAACGTTCGACGTGTGTTCACGTGTGTGCGTAATAAAATTAAATAGGAAATTTTATTTACAACGCCATTTTCCAAAATAACTCGCACCTCATTATCATGCAGCGATCTGAAGAAGGAAAAAACCTTTTATGCTCGCTAGGAAATTACAAATTAATGTTCGTCATGTGATATATTATTAGTCACATGTAACAGTATGAAAAAGATTTTATTCCATTTTTTTTATATCTACTCAGAAGAAAAGAAGTGTCAGATCAACTCTTATATACTCAAATTAACGCGTTATAGTTTATATGCAACAATCTATAATTTTCTTAGAAGCATTTAATAATCTTACATTCCAACAATATTACAGTCTTACTTAAATACTATAATTGTCACTTTAATACAAATAATTATTTTGACAATAAAATCGTTTTAATCATTATAATCTTTGATTTGAAAATATATTATTTTCTATCCAATTTTGTTGCCTTTCCATTCAAGAAAATTATTCTCAAATAATAAGCATATAATTTTCGTGACTGAATTATATAAAATTGCTCCATTTAAGTAAGTTTTCCTTCCTTTATAACGCAATATAATCTCATTTCAAAATTTTCACGTTGAAACTAAACATATTTTCAAAAGAAGAATATCCTTTTTTCTGTGCCAGTTATATTTATTTCTTGCGGGTGTGGAAGCAAATTTGATTTGTAAGATCACGTAATGATTCACGAATCAGCTCACGCGATAATTCGATTTTCCTCGAGTCTTGGGAACGATCGTAATAAGACTTTTTCCTCACGTAATTTCACTTGTTGGGATCTCTATGTGGTATTCTTATAATAAGAGCTATGGGAGCTGCGGCCGCGAGATTACACTCGGCGTAGCACGTAAGAAAGCGTTTTGGCTCTTTCTAACGATCCTGTATCGCTTGGTTTTTCCGCACACCTGGAGAAGACCTTATTTCTTCTCTCTGGAGAATATAACTCCCATCTCAAACAATAGTTCAACAAAACTTATTCAGTTCGAAAGAAGAAGAAAACTGAATGTTCCGTAATGATACGTAAACTGTTAAACTTCAAATACATTTTGCGTAATTTGAATGTTATTTCTAATTTTTAAATATTAATAGTTTAATAATAATTAATGCAACATTTTTTAAAATATTACTACGTATTGCGCATTATTTCACAACAGTATTTATTTTATGATATTTCATATTACTTGTTTATTCTTTAATTTATGTTAAATATGTTTTATTATACATTATATTATTTATTTACTACTAAAAAATATTCACATTATTATATTATATTGTTAAATAATTACACTTGATGATTTAATTAAATCTGATGACATTTAAGTGTTGCGCGGTACAGTAAAACGAAGAAGAATCTATAGTCACCATGTTAACAATGGTAATGTTAAGAGTCAAGTTTCTAAAGTATAGTCGTCGATATTTTTCCATTAAAAATATTTTCTCGTGGGTGATCTCTCTTGCGACCAAAGATATGCGCACGTTATGAAAAGAAAACGCCAAGGTGTTTTCTTCGTGACGGTGAAAACGCTTTTCTACGCAGAAACGTGCTGCGTTTTTATATCTAGGGTAAAGTGTGGTACCTCGAGAAGGATAATCCTCTAATCAATTTAAAGTCAATTTTTCTTGAGCAAAAACGTAATTGCAGCTTCTTTATTGTTTGCTTTTATTGCTTTTATATTAAATATCTCGAGTCTCAAATTAAGGCACTCCTTTAGATCAAACAAAGCTCTGATTTTCATTTAAAATACAATTTCAATTCGAGATTTGTAAAAGTGTTTTAAATCGCGAAATAATTTATATTTTAATCTCCGTCACCAAGTAATAAAGTGTTGCAAATACGAAATTTTTTATATCGAATGACGTTTAGCAATGTCGAAATAGCGACACACAATATCGTAATACAGAAATAAAGTTAAAGCGTCGTCACGATTTTTAAATAATGAGTTTTAAATATCCAGGAATTTTCAAGTAAATGAATGCTAACCCGAATTTTTGCCTGCTATGTAGACCAATTAAAAACTTTCTAAACTAAAAATGCTAAGGACGCTAATTTTTTTGGGATTAATTAGATGGATGAATAACGAGAATACGAGATTCACTTTCCTGCTTCAAGAACTTAAAAAATTCGGTCATCTAGGTAATTGTGCGCGATGAAAGAATTAGTTAATTTCTGCCACGCGGCAAATTGCTTTCTTTATTTTAAGCGTAACTATCGCAGCAATTAAACGTGAAAAATCCGCGCAGAATAGCAGCAAAATGGTTACGTCATTTATTAATAAACAATTTTTAACGAAAAGCCAAGTAGTCTTTTGCCTTTGAAGAAAATGATTTTAAGTAATTGCATAAAGAGAAAAGTACTTAATTAATTTTGATGCAATTTTAATGATAAGAATTTTTTAAGAAATAATTGCATGTATATAAAGGAGTTTTAAGTTAATCATAAAAATTACATTTCAACGACAGAAACTTTCTCTCAAAGGATCGTGACAGGAGATCTTGATAAAGAAATCTATTTTTATTTTATTTTGTTGCAGTGCACACACTGCAACTAAATGAAATTGGTAATTAAAGTTGGATCGTTAAAAGTATGCGCATATCAAATTAAGTACTTCAATTCCGCGACCTTAATTATAACTTTAGAAAGACGCTTTCTGAAAGCAACAAGCAGTTTTAAAAAACTGCTTTCTCTTTTTATATATAAATTATATATCTGATTTATTTAATTTTGTTACATGATTTGTTTGGTTAATGTCTTCTACCAATTTGATCGAACTTAACGAATGCGCCGAAATTACATTAATTTTTCTTATTTTCTCTTTTGATACAATAAGAAACAAAACAATTTGTATTTATATTTGCTTTGACTTTGAACCTTTATTAACTACACTTTGATCTACGGTAGCATATTGTGCTGATGCTAGGAAGAAGATGCATTACCGCACTCGGAAGGTGCAGTTAATTGCCGGTAATTATCTAACTAATGCTCCATGAAAAGCGGTGCTTGCACTGCCACTCGTTCCGACCTACTTTTATCCAACGATGCACGTATATCGAAACCTATCGCTTGCGCAATATTTCCAAACCACCTTCTTTACAGAAATGAGGCATTGTTTAGATATTAATTCGCGTTACCTCTGAAAATTCATAATAGACTTTGCAATAGTTTTGTGATATAATTTAATCGTAATTACTTTAGTTTAATCTTGTTTCAAATTGTGGTATAGATAATCTGATTAATTAATAATTATTATCTAATTGTTAAATTATTTGTTAGCAGTTAATGTTCCGCGTTAAACAAATCGTATTATAAATAATAAGCGGATACCTCTGACGCAAAGTACCTTAAGTTTCCATCGTGTATTTACTACGTGAATTATTACACGGTATCATCCGATTTTTTCATACATACAATATCCCATTATTACGGAGTACCGCACAGAATCTTTCCTCCTTTTTTTATATTTCCGTCATATAATTTTAGTCACGCTCTTTTGCCAGTGCAAAAAGTGTCTGGCTGTACGCCAGTGAGCCAGTGCGACGATTACACTGCTGCTGCGTTTTAGCATGAGTTTTATATAGCATTCGCGATGGAAAAAGAAAGACAGATATATATATGTATATATATATATGTATATATACATATAGTATTCGTAAAATTTATGAACTTTTGTTTGCACTTTTTCGACGCAACGGCAGCTGACAGGTTATTTCGCGTACCTTGTGTGAAATTTGTATCTACAGAAATTGTGAAATATCGAAAAAAAAAAATCTTATCCGATTATGTTTAATTATAGATAGAATAGCTGTGTATTAAATAAACATTTATCGTCTGACTAATCCGATTAAAATTGATTTAAAAATGTGATTTTAATGTGTGGCAATTAAAAATTTTATAAAGTTAATTAGAATAATGAAGATTTACTAGGCGAAAACTTACTTTAATTAGTACCTAAAAAGATCACCTGTTTGCTTGGTGTTTAATTCTATTATTATTAATACAATTTAAACGCAATCAAATATTTTTATACATAAAAATAACTCGTTTATATTCTCTCTCTCTCTCTCTCTCTCTCTCTCTCTCTCTCTCTCTCTCTCTGTCTATCTGTCTGTCTGTCTTTCTCTCTCTTTCTCAAGAGTTTTGTGAATGTAACATTTTCCTCGAAGTCGTTTCAAGTTTTATTCTCAGAAATATAATTTAACTGTGTTTAAATGTTACTGAATACAAAGTAGAAAAGCAAAGCAAAAATGCAGAACATTTTTATACCAGATAGAATTCCACACATTGAGTATGCGCCTTGCAGTATATGCATATCTTTTAATGTTATACCTCATAACTGATGCTTTGCTTTTGTTTCTTCTTGTTTCTTCTTGCCATTGTGGAAACGAGTTCCGACGCATATTCCTGTTGATTAACTTCATTCGCAATTTTAATAACCATCCTGTCGAGTTGATTGAACGAAGCGAAACGAATCGTAGTTGTTGTTTGCAAAAACAAGAATGTTGACAAATCCAAGCGGGAAAAATTCGCCCAATATTTGTCGACCTAGTATATTGGGTGATATGGGCTCAAATTGCGATTGTATTAATACTGCGAATGCATGTGCGGTCAACAAATTTATTTGTTACATCGCCTGTGACAATGTTTTTTTTTACAATAACCACGAAAAACATATTTGTGTTATAGTAAATATTTTTACAACAGTTGGAGACTTCCATTTACATTCACTGAGTGTTGTTTCATTTCCTTTAAAAAAGATATATATTTTTCCTTTCTTTCTTACATTATTCAAGTACTAAACTATTTTGTATTCTTTAAATATTTTTTCTTTTTTAAATCTTCAGGGAAACGTTTCCATTTCCTGAAACAGCTTTTCAGTCTCAAGTATTAGCATTTTTTTTCAGCTTTTGTAGTAGCTCTTTTTGAAATCTCGTAACACGATCGAGAGGAATCATCGATTCTGATAAGCGCGCGAATTTGTAATTCGAGGAGAAAGCTCTTCCTCGCGGAGATTTCGGATTCTTCAAGATTAGATTCCGCGCAAACACGCGAGTATCCGATTACAATTTATAACACACAACTCACGTATAAACATCCAAGAGAGATGTACTCCATTTATTTCTGTATTTGCGTTGGTAAAAATACGCTTAATTGGTTTATTTATACATATATATAATATAATCTTTAGGAAGATACTTTTATAAAGATACATTAAGAATATCAAAAGAGTAAGAGAAGTAGAATAAAAAATAGAATTAAAAAGTACAATATAATATAAAATTTTCATATTATGTACTAATCCATTAAAATTATATTACAATATTTCCATAGATAATAAATCATAACATAAAGAATGCTATAAAAGATGATTAAATTGTGATTATTTTTGTTTTAAACATAAACCTTGGATATACTTGAATTTTGAATAACATATGTGTTTGAACATTATTTTCTGAGAAATTTTAATGTGCTTAAAAAATATTTTCAGGAACATATTTAAAAAGGCATCTTTAAATCATGTGTTATTTTTTAAAATCATTTTAATATAATGTTTGTCTCAATAATACAAAATAAAATAAAATATTAGCCACTATATTAATGTATGTGTGTATGTTGTTGGCCACTAATATATACTACAATGTTATATTTTAGAATATATTAAAGGATTACACATATATTTGTTGAGTAATTATAAAGTAAAAAGTGCAAAGTGTATCACATTACTTCTTGCTATTATTGTTAAAAATATCAGTGAATTGTTCCATTAGACATTATTAAAGCATTATATAGAAGTAGAATAGTTTAATGTCTTATTTAAAACGCAAACCTTTTTATAAACGCTAGTTGTACCAGGGTAATAGCGACGTAAACTGCTTACGGTAACAATATCCTCTATCTATCCACTAACCCCTGTGCAAAGAATTTGATCCCCTTTTAAGGCTGCGTATGTAGACGCAAGGATTCACGGAAGAATACGACGTTAAGGATACCACGGTAAAGAAAGTCAGCAATTTCCTGACGGAAATTCGTTAGAAAGATGTTAGAAGTTCATTATATCTACTTCGTTATATCTTCGTTATATATAGTATATACGCTTTCTTCCTATCATCGCACATAAATTTTTACTAACTTTTTATGATTATGCTATATAATTATTTCAGATTGCTGTCTCAATTATCTTATTGTGTTATTCTTGTCAATATTATAGACGTATAAAAATCTATAAATAAAAATTTAGAAGTAACGTAAACAATATATAATAAATATATATATTGTATATAAATAATAGAGAATAGATATATTATATCATTTACTATTGTTAAGTGTTGTTGTAAATGTACATTTATTTTTGAACAGTAATATTAATTCTTTTAAATTATGATTCATATCGAGTCAAAAATACTATTTAATTTCCAAATTACTTTTTGTAATTATATTTTTATTTCACTGTAATTAATCAGTTTACGAAAAAAAAGCTACATTAATTCTTTTGAAATTATTTCAATTTAATTTCTTAATTTAACTGTGTTATTTAATAACCTTATCTGTTCGCTTTTCATAATTGGAGATATTTCAATTTTCCTCCTTTTTACAATAAATCACGGCCGAGTTTCACGACGAATCGTTTTAAGTGGAAGCCGCTGGCTGATTAAAAGTTTTTCTTTACTTTTGCTTTGTCTTGTAATTACTTAGAAGGTAGGCGAAGCTTCGAATCGAGGGCGATCTAAATTTTGCGATACCGCGGATCCTCCATTAAAAGAAATCAAGACATAATAGTACCTATTTAAATTGCAAAAATAATGCGATATCGATATCCTTAGGATGGGAAAGAGGTTTTTTTTAAATAAAAAGTACAAATCTTTAATGTAAAAATTATGGAAACATGCAAATAGAACGATTGATAATCCCTTTGTGAATATTTTGAATGTTTCTTTTAAAAATAAAAATATTGAGGCAAAACTTTAAATAAAGGATTTGAAAAAGATTTTCGAGATATAATGAATCTCTGTATATCGTTTCAATATTTCTCGTAAAAGTCAAATTCAGTAAACAGTAAAAATAAAGAGTTACAGGATCATTTGATACAGAAACATTTGATGAAGTTTTTGTTAAAAATGTTTTCAAATATCTCAACAAAATAATCTTGTTTCATTGAACTTAAATAAGTTTATTATTTAAATAAATAATGTATTATTCGTAAGCACGCTTTTTATATAACGTTTAGTATTTTGTATGTAATGCAAGATACTATATTATGTTATAAAAATTTGTCAAGAAGTTTTGTAATTTCTTTGTGTTCTTTTATGTCACATTCGTTCATTACATTATGTTTATGTTTACCAACAATTTTTATATTCTAAATTAGTATTTATTATCGCGGAAAATAATAATTACCGTAATATATTTAAAACAATAGCCAAGCATCTCTCGCCATAATGCATTCGTTGATTGTTATTCGGGCAACGAGGAAGAACCCTTCTTTCCCTCATTCTCAATATTTCTGCCGCAAGAACCGGGAAGTCATTAACCTCCTTTCGCGTTTAATATGCTGCCACTGTGTCACCATTCCGCCGATGACGATGTAGTAATTAAAGATCGCCGCGAGCGAACGAGCATCCTGAGAATCCGCTCGATGTTTCATTATGTCGACTACTGATATACAGTCGTGCGATTATATCGCATCTGGATGATATCCTGCTGCTGTGTAATGTCAAGAAATAAAATAGGATAAAGTATTCTCATCTCACTACATCGCTCAGTTACGCTGCTTTCCTTTTAAGAGCGACAACGTGACTGATAATTATGATTCATACAATTCTCGAGTTGTACAATTCGTGTGACTATGCATCTCTCGAAATTCTCGCGAGAGAATCTTCATTTATTATTTTTGCGTCTGTATTTTGTTTCCGTCGTTATTATTAATATGTACATTGTTTAATCGTAAAATACATCAAGCTAATATAAGGAAACAGTTGAAACAATTTAAACTATGAAAGTTTCGACTAGCTGAATGTATAATGTTTGTGATGGTATACAGACTCATTGGCTTGTACAAATTGATACATTTTCGTTACTTAAGTTAGAAGTAAAGAGTTTTGCTCTCTCGTCAGTATAAGTGTTTGTGAAATGCTTTTATTAGATCTCTTGATATCGATCTATTCTAGCCATAGCTCTAGATTATAGTCATGCTTAAATATACTTGCTAAGAAATGTCTGTCTGTCTCTCTCTCTCTCTCTCTATTATAGCTAACCACTAGCTAGGGGCGATTGCATTATATAGAGGTTCATCCGCAAGTAAATCCTCTTAATGGCATCGCCTGTAACACATACACATATCTACTGAAACATTTAGATAATTGAAAGTTCCGAGAGGCCTTCTTATATTAATATCCATCATCTATCTTGTGCAAGTACGTTAATAAGTATAGATTTTAACGAGCATATCATGCAGTCAAGTTTAAAGTGAAAGGTTAGACGTGTTAATCTCTTCGATCACTGGCTTTGGCGACGTTCCACGTGAAATTTTCTCGAAATTCAGATTCAACCGCGTTACCGCATAAATTATTGAGGAAATGCATCGCGTATTAATATATAGAGGTGTTAAAGTAAATTAAACAAATTAATACCCTAAATTTCGTTCTTTCAAAGATGAGCGATTTGGTTACGTGCGATTAATGAGAATCCTTTGATTGTCCTCGTCGACCGGAACAAGTTGATTAAAATGAATAATTCATTTTGGTAGAATTTATATCGGTCCATCGAAAAGTAGATCGGACAAATCGCATTCGGCGCATATACAATTGCCTGTCGTTTTACAGAGTTATTGAGTGTCATCAAAAACCTCGATATGTTATCGGAAATGGTGCTAGATCGAACGGCGAGGCTTATTAAACTATCATGCGTGGCAATCAAAATGGAGTTTTAATCCTCATTATAAATCGGCATTATTCCTGCAATTGATTAAAAATTCGCGCCTGGACCAACAAATGCCAATCATGGATAAATTAATAACAATAATCCGTGCGAAACTATCGCGAGACAATTTAGTGCGACTTAGACTAAATTGTGCAGAAAATGACGAAATGTTTACAGGAATGCTCAAAAGACTTAAGTTAGAAATTGAGGAGGACGAGACTCATCCTAGAAAAAAATATCCACATTAATTACATATATGTGGACGACACTATATGTATAAAGAAATATATTTAATATATACATGTATAAGATCTTCGAAGAGTACAGTTAAGAACAACAAAGATAGAATAAAACTAAAGAATAAATCAAAAGATAGAAAGGAATTAAACAATATATATGTATTAAAAGTATATGTACATATATGTATATTTGAGTCACTTTTGGCAGAAGTGACATACAGAATGGTGCTATGCAACATATTATTTTCGCTAACAAAAACTTGTAGCATCACAATTGTGCATTCGCTATTGTACTATAAATAAACCGGAACTTGGACCACCGATACAAATCAAGAACGAAAATCACAATCACGCATCTTGAAATAAAAAATAATTTTCTCGAGAGATTTTGAAGAATACTGAAATATTTTTTCTATTTTCATTATAACGCAACAAAATATCCATCAAAAGCATCTATAATTAATTCAAGAAATTTCAAAGAATCTCGAAATACTTGTTGCATTATCTAATAATACCGAATATCAGTCACCACAATTACGTAATTAAATCAAAATACGGAACAAGTTGGCGTACATATAAATGAGTATCACGATGATGCTTTTCTAAGGAGGGATAATCGATCTCTCTCTATTCGTGATGATGAAAAAGAAGAGTAATTCATCTGACTACGCCCTCTTTACCATCGATGGACTCTCGAACACCACGAGGTCCAAAATGAGCGAGGGATTGTCGAAGAGAAATCGTTCTCCGTAACGTAAATGGTGAACCGACCAACGACGCATCCCCCGTCACCATGTTGAACGTAATGGCGGCGATGTCGACGGGCCTACCTCAAGAAGAACCCACGTCTTCGTCAGTCCTCATCAACAACACCATTATCGTCTCCAGCACGACAGCGACCACAACAACAGCCGTAAATCTAACGTCGTCCGCGGAAAACCCGACGGTGGAAAATCTCCCCGAGAATGTGAACTTGCTGTTAATGGTGATCAAGGGTATCATTATGGGTACCATCATAGTCACGGCGGTTCTGGGTAACATGCTGGTGATCGCCAGCGTGCGCAGGCATCGCAGATTACGAGTAGTCACCAACTGTTACGTCGTCAGTTTGGCAGCGGCCGATCTCCTGGTGGCGATGTGCGCCATGACCTTCAACGCCTCGGTGGAGCTCTCGGGAGGAAAATGGCTCTTCGGGACGGTCATGTGCGATCTGTGGAACTCGCTGGATGTGTACTTTAGCACCGCTAGCATCCTCCATCTTTGTTGTATCAGTGTGGACAGGTATTACGCCATAGTGAGTCCGCTTGAGTACACGGTGATAATGAAGCAAAGTACTGTGGGATGTATGCTGGGTAGCGCTTGGGCCCTGCCGGCGCTGATAAGCTTCATTCCAATTTTCATGGGGTGGTATACAACAAAAGAACACCTGGAGTACATGGTGAAGCACCCGCAGGTACGTGGGAGTTCGTTTTCCTTTAAATGTCAAAAAAGTGATTAATGTATGAGTTATGAATATGGTAATTGTCGTTAGCCCCTTAGCAATATAAGCTGTCTTGGTGTGAAAGACGGATTATTTTAAATTTCTAAAAATTAAAAAGAAAATGAAAGATTCTAATTCCAGCGATAATAAAGGACTGCCTCGTTCTTTTTATGCAAATTTTTTAAGTGTTTATACTTTTTATCGCGTTCATTTATCAGCTGTTTAAAAATTAATTATTTATAAGTGAAATAATTTGCGACATTCCCTGATGTTACAGAGCTGCGAGTTTCGAGTGAATTTACCGTACGCGCTTATCAGTTCTTGCGTGTCCTTTTGGATCCCAGGCCTAGTGATGATTATCATGTACTGCAAGATATACAAAGAGGCGATTCGGCAACGAAAAGCGCTCAGCCGGACGTCCAGCAATATTGTTCTCAATAGCGTGCACCATCATCGCTCATCCCGGCACCATCATCATCAACAGATGTTGTTGCAGGCCGCTGCCGATACCGGTGAGCTAGCTCTTCACACAGCACACTTCGCGGTGCCCACGGAGCTCCACGCCGTTAACGGTGAGTGGAACTCCGTTTATGTGTGCGTGCGCTTGATTATATTTCTAAGAATAAATAGCAAGAGCCGAGATGAAGGCTCACTTTATCGAATTAATAAACTATAAGTTTACTTAGACATCTGACGTGCGATGTCTTAAACTCTTGTCGCTCTTCATAATTTCAGAAAGAGAATTTTTATTAGAAAGGTTACTTCGTTCACGGAAATATTTAAAACATTTGGTATATAGAATAGAAAATGATACATAATAAAGAATACTCGGCTTTTAATTAGCAATCTTTTAGGTCGTTATCTGTGTAGAACTTTTACACATATACTTGTCGTATGTATACGGAGAGTTTCTCTTAAAATTTATCCTGAAAATCATGTAATCGTGGGAGATGGCATTTTGAAAACTTTTACGAGAGTTTCTTGAAATTTTACCATACTTTTTACAAGTAATTATACTCAGTATACATTTTACTAGTAAAATGTTCTTGGAAATGTCATATTGTCCCACGATTACGTGATTTTCAGGGTAAATTTGAAAAGAAAATTCTCTCCCCGTGCAGTTACGAATTCAAATTCAAGTTCAAGAACGCGGAACGTCTCAGCAGAAATTTTCGAACTCGACTTGTGCGACGAAATGATAAGAATTAGCAAGCGACAGTTACACTCACGTCGCAAGTTTAATGCAGCAATCAAGACTTGAAACGCATATTCTCGCGTCGTGCGTCTGTTGGCGCGGTCGTATATTTCGATAGAAATGGTAAATGCTCGCTCGCGTGAAATCCTCTTATCTCCTTAAGCCATTATACGAACGCGAATGTCCCCTTCACTCCCACGTATAGAATGGTGAACAGAATCCGCTATTTCTACTGCAGTATCCATGGCGTATTTTGCGCGATTACGCAGTGAAACGCGTTTTGTCACCCTATATAGGACCTCACTAATAATATCCTCCGCAATCCATTTTAGCGGCGACATCAATTTAGTGCTATATTCAATCAATAATATAATTTGATAACAGAATGTCTTTGTGTACAATAATTGCAAGAGATAAAATATTATTATAAAACAATAATTTTAAATATTTATAAAATGTTTTAATTGTATTATATTGTATAAATAGAATAATATATTATTCTTATAGATTAGTATCTACGTAATAATAATCTCAATAATCTTTTATTTTGTAATGTCTTTTAACAAAAGCTGTAGAATTTTTCGAAAAGATTTATATTAATTTTTCCTTGACACAAAAAATGTAGAGGGACTAATTATAGATATATCTATATTTAGCTGTATTTCCTGAGACTTTGGTTCTTCAGTCGCTTTAATCAACGTGCGAAATTTATAGACTGATGCGAAATCTTTAACACGGTTCATCATGTGGTGAGAGCGATTTGCAATTATCTATGATTGGCAATCGAAAGCGAGCATTATTCACGCGGGAAAATAGGATTTCGTGGTCCATTAATAAAATCACTGTGAGCTATTCGCATTATCAATGAGTGTCATAACAGTTCGCGTGAATGGATTTGATCAAATCTCCAGTAAATCTCCATACTTAAGAAATTTTTAAATTTACAAGAATAAGTTGAAGTCTGAATTAGGTAGGAAGTTTTTCTTACATTTCTTATTAACGAATAACTCTTTATTTTTTAAAGAACTTGTTACTTTTACAGAAACAAGAAAAATGAGGTTATTAAAATTGTTAAATTGTTTGAAATTGACAATTTAGCTATTTTAAATCTTTTATATAATCTGTTACTTTAATTAATTTTTTTAATAATAAAAATAATTAAAATCTATTTCTCAGAGTTAATAAAATTTGTATTAATTGAAGTAAAAATTTAGATTGTAAGTAAAATAAATCGGTAACAAATAATACACTTGTTAAACTCATGCGCGAAATTAATACATTTATTTCTATCGAAATTGATTTAATATTAAAAAATTAAAATATTGTAAAGTTTAAATGAATAAATAACATACCATATTCTCTGGTTAATGAAATTGCGTGCAATTTCGATAATTTGAATGGTCAGATATGCATGTGAGCTTGTACTTCAATGAGATTGCATTCCGCGAATGTTTAGTACGCTCACATATTATACGCCTCGTCTGGAAAATAATGCTGAAGTCAAGTTGTTGATTGCCAGCATAAACACATGTGCAGACGCGGTCAAGTATTTCCAACTTTTCCTACTGTCAAAACCATATTCTAAGATAATTATATTGCGATGATGGAGGTACTCGCATTCGAGAAAGATAGAGAGAGAGATTCGCGCTTTCTAGTATTCTGAAACACCCTCACATTAATTTCTCTCTCTCTCTCTCTCTCTCTCTCTTATTATTGAACTTTCTCACTGTTTTTAACTACATAATTTGATTTCATTTCTTCAGTTTTCACTTTAATTTTTTTAGACGGTTAAATATTTGATCATATTTCAATATTTATTACTACGAATATTTAATAGTTATTTAAATACGTGTATATGCGTTATACATATATGTATTTCTTTAAGACATTATATATAATTTTATATAATTTTCCAACGAATTAATCAATTTGATTATTATGTATTTAATTACTAGTCATTATATTTACATAATTAACAATCTCTTGGAAGAAATTTCTTAATTGGAGTTTTTTCTTTAATTTTCAAGCAATTCGGTTTTTTTTAAATAAAATGAACCTGCTATTATTATTCTCTGAAAATTGCTTTGTTAGTACAATCACTGATCGGCTGAATATCGGTAGATGCTCTTCATTTTAAATGTTAAAGCCATGTGTCGATCGATCGTTAATATTATGTAGCCACGAAATATCGGTGAAAGTTTGCGCAATAATATTAGCTGCGTTCGGTATTGCAAATCCGAGGCGTTGGAGTGCACTTTTGCATTGGAGTGAGCGAGAGAGGAGAAGAGATAGAAAGGGAGGAACAGCACTCCGATGCCTCAGATTTACAATGTCGAACGCAGCTATTGGTGCTTGCGAGTTTTGCTATCGCAGTCGCATGCGCGAGTGTTGAAATTGTTATAGAAACGCAACGATACATGGCGTTATAGAGGGTTAAGATATTGGATATTAGTTTTTAGGTATTCTAATTGCGAATTCCATTGTACTAGTGCGCACTTAGTGCACACTAAGACCTGTTTACAGTCAATTCTTATATTTAAGGATCGTCTTGGATATCCCTTGATATATTTCTTAGCCAGTAAATGATCCGTATAGCATCCATACGGATCATTTTTTTGGCTTAATACTCTTTGAACATGTATTTAACACAGAGTTAAATATAAAAATTGATCATAAACAGGCCTTAGTACACTCACAATCAGTATGTATTGGTGCAAGCAACCGGATTCGCTATAAGTAATTTTACTTTTATATATTTCAAAAATTTTTGCCTCGAGAAATCTTTGTTTAGAAAACTTATTCATACTTTGAATGTTGATATATGTTTTAGTAGATGGATAAAGATAACGAAAGAAAGAAAAAGAAACGGGCTGTCTTTCGATTGAATTCCTGCGAAAGCAGTTTGAATACACAGAAGGAATACACGGGAGAGTAATCAACAGATTTGCATATGGCTCCGGCCCGTTTCATCGGGCGTTTTCATTAGCGTAGTTTTATCTGTCGACTCGGACAGTCTGAAAATTCAATTAAACCCCATCAAGTTAGCAGTGCGTCCGTGCCAGCCAGTACCTTTCCCTTTTCGCTAACGACGAGGATAAAAATTTCGTTGAGCTATTTTCGTTGAGAAAAAAATAATTGATCATTCCTGGGAAAAGGTACTTTAAAAGTTGTACAAACGATTCGTTAATTGAGAAACGTGTCATGATGAAAATTTAAAACGCGGTTAATTTTCAAAGCAGAGCAATTTATAAAATAAAATTAAACTATTTATTATTCGCGGATATGTTAGAGAAGTAATATTTAATATTCCATATCTTTTATTTGTACAGTGTTTCATATCTTTTTATATAATTTACTTCAATTCTGTATAATCCTATATATAATAAAATAAAATAGTTTATAAAGTTCTACAAAATATTATTTCATAATAGCTTATATCGTATAGTTGTCTATTTTCAGTATTTTGTTTAAGGTAGTTCTTTCTCAATTATGCTAGTCAAAATGAGACTTGACCAATAAAGTTCAATAGACAACGAATTCTTTTATACTAAATTCAAGAACAGATTGTTAAACACTATTGCTTCTCTTAGAATATTAAGAACCGATTAGATAAGAAAGAGTTACAGAAAATGAAATAGTATTCTGAATTGCGCAGTGTTAGCACAGCGTTCACATCGTGGCAACATCACTTTTCGTCGTGAATGCGATAAATTGTGAAAAGATATTTTAATTATCATAATCGAAAATCAGTTGCGATATAAATGGCGGTTTATAAAAAGGAAAGTGTTAGAGCAGAAGCGAAAACGCAAAGAACACTTACTTAACCAAGAAAACAGAGAGAATGGCATAACCTACGTTGCCACATTCGCAAAGCATTACCGTTCACATTGACATCTAAATTAGTTTTGCTGCAAATTTAAAGAAAATCTGTAACTTTATCATTTTTGACCTAATTATCTTAACGTGTACAAGAGTTTTATTTATCCCGAGACGAACATATTCTACATTACCTTAATTTTACAATACTTATTATAAGTATGCTGTAATAATACATGTACCTATTACCAGTGAAAATACGGATGACAACTACGTTTAGCAGTAAGATAAACATACTTTAATGAGAGACCGTGTATTGTCAGCAACAAAAGATGTTATGTACAATTGTGTAAGATAAAAACTTATACAATAAATGTACGTATGCAATAAATATACCTCTGCAAAATGAAACAGGTATAAAATAATAACTTATAAAAATATTATGGATTGGAAATGAAATGAATAATATGGAAAAATCGCGAATCTCGTACGAACGAAAATTATACTTATACCTTCACGAATCCGTTTCATAGTACAAAGCGGAATTTCTCAATGGAAGTT